AGAAAGGCAGTGAGGCACATGCTAGAGTCAAAGGAGAGGGGTAGACCAGATGCCTGTGAGGTTCTCCTAGTGGAGCAGCTTGTGGGGCAGGGAGATTGAAGACATATACTGCAGTTAGACTCTGGCGAGCCTTGAACGCCAGGCTAAAATGTGGTATCATAGGAGGTATCATAAAATGTTTGACATAGGAGGAAGGTGGCCAAGTGAAAACATCCTTTAGGCAGTTGGAAATAACACTAATAAACAGTTATTACTTACTGAACACTTATAATCCAGGAACTACGCAAAGTGCTTTAATGCCAGTTATCTAATTTGATCCTCTCAACAGCACTATGACATAAGTACTAGTATTAGCCCATTTTATAGATGAAGAAACTGAGCTCTCAGAACCAGTGAGTCACTACATCCAGGCCTGCCCGCATTCTACAAAATAAGGTCAGCAGAGAGACCAGAACAGGAGACCTCAATTAGCATCATTTCCATACAGGGAGAGAAGGTCAAGAACAGAGGGCCGTAGGTCTCATTCAAGCCCTCTTCTTGTAAAGATGAGCCCCCAATCTCCGTTTCCAGTCTTGCACTTGATCCTGAACTCCACTGATACATTGTCAGCTGCCCACTGGATTTTGTCACCTTAAATTTAACACATCCACACTAGCTCCTGTCATTTGTCACCACCTTCCCAGCAACCAGTTCCCAATCTTATATTCCTAATTCCTTAAGCATAAAAGAGGATCAAATTTTGTGTCAAACCAAGTTGGGCTTAACTGGAAGTGCCACATGCAAACCATGAGGCAGGCCTTGGGCCAGTTGCCGAACCTTAATGGGTCGAAGTTTTCTCATCTATGAAATGGAAACAGTAACAAGATCTTTCTGGGAAGGCGCTTGTGTAGACTAAATGAGAGTCTGTATACAACATATAGCACAGCGCTCGGCCCCTAGCAAGTGTTAGGTAAATGAGGTTATTATTGTTATTCCTGTTGTTCCTCAGGTTTAAAACTCCCTCTTTCACATGTACCTAACTCCATACTCAGAGGTGGGAGGAAGGCCAGGGACCCACAAAGAGATAATAAAAAGCCAACTTGGCTGGTGCCCCTGGCAGTGATCTCGTCCCTCTGACTCCTGGGGCTTCAGGGTCTCTCTCCTACACGCACCACGGAGAGCTGGGCTGCAGCCCAGGATCCCCTGCTCCTTTCCCTCCAGACCTCCTTCTGTGGGGATCAACGGGCAGTGTTGTTTTTTCCATCTCCCACTCCCTTCAGCTAGAGCCCGCATTTTGTGTCATCTGCAGCCCTTGCCTTCCCCAAACACCCTCCTTTCCCTCAAAGCATCTAGAGTCAAAGTTTTAGAAATCATCTAGTCCAATCCCTCAAAATATGGAGTTTAAAATTAAGTCATTTTAAAAAACATTCTTGCATAATTAAATTTGAGTCAAGTACACCTTCTCCCAACCAATGTGCATGCATTCACCAGTCTTCATTGTGGTAGGTGCGCTGTGCACACCTCTGGGTTCTCACTGTGCAGAGCCAGCCTCAGTGTGGGCCTGTCTGGGCCTTTACCCACTCCCCTCCCTCACAGGCCTAGCAGGTTATCCAGCCCCTTTGTAAGTACGGATGGCTAATGACTGAAGATAAACAGGGCACTGGTCACAATCACAAGCCCTCACACATTTGCACTCCCTAACCTCCCCTGAGGCCCATGGTAAAGATGAAAGGAGACTCTAAGGAGATAGGGATGGTGTCTGTATACGGGGAGGGGAGAACAAAGGGAAAGGGGAGCCTGGAGGTGGCAGGCAGGAAAAGCAGGCGAGACAGAAGAGACAGACGGTTAGATGAGTCAAAGAGAGTGAACCAGGGCACTGGGTCGCATCAGCTCTGGCTTAGCTGCCCCCAGAGGGTAGTGTGAACTGAAGAAGGGAAAAAGGGGAGGCGAGAAGGGGAGTGGATGCCGTCATTCAGAAAGTGGGAACCAGAGTGTGTTGTAGATGGTCAGCAAAAGCTCAGCTCACTTCCAGGAAGGACCCAAGCTCTCGCCTTCTGATCTGGTGCTGCCTCTGTCTCCTCGGTCTTTCCTGCCTGGCTCTGCTCCCAGGGCAGCAGGGCCGCAGCAAGCCGCTGGGATGGCAGAGGAAGGAAAGAGCTAAGCTAACAACAAAGATGTCAGTCTTGGAGATCACTGGACTCCGGCTTGGCAGACAGAAGCCACCCGTGGCCGCTGATACCCTCCATTTATTTGATGCTCTCAGCGTATTTCAAATGCCCCCGCACGAATGATCTCATTCAGTCTCTGGCACAGCCCTGTGACATAGGCGGGATGGGATTCTCTCCGACATGTTCCTCCCCTCTTTACCCCGTGGATCCCTCAAGGGCCCTCAAATTGTTTCCTCCATAGGAACATCCAACTTAGGGGCTATAAAGAGGTCCTCTGTCAGGGCTCCATTCTGGCCTTGCTTGCTGCTGTCTGTCCTGGGCTGGGCCTAACGAGAAGTCACAGGATACGGAATCCTTCCACTTCTGGAATTTCCCAGGCACCCCTCCCCCTTTGCTTACATCTGAAAGCCTGGCACACAATGACCAGTTCACCCACTCCCCAGAGAGCTATGTCAGATTTCTCATTAGGTGAGTGGAAACCTCAGGCCTGGAGAGGCAAAGGCCTTTGCCCTGAGTCACAGAGTGAGCCGACATGGCGGGCTACGTGATGACTTGGAAAGAACACGGGTCCGGGGAAATCGGAAAACCTGGGTTCCGGTCCTGGCTCCGCCCTTTATCAGTCAGAGTCACCGAACTGCCACTCAACATTCCCAGCCTTGGTTTCCATTGACTGTCAAATGGAAATAATACTCACCTCTTGGAGTTGCTCGGAGGATTATAAGAGATCAAGATGTCAAAGTGTAATGTAAAATGAATTACTCTGATGATCAAGTACCATAGGTAACGTCAGGACTGTGGTGTGACAGAAAGAGGCCAAGCCAAACACAAAGTCCAGGCTCTCCTTAGCTCATGCTCATGTGGCCTGGGCATGTCCTGGCCTCCGTTTTCCAAGGCCCCTGCCAGCCGTAAGATGCCGTTCTGAGGGCTCTGCCTCTGGTGCAGGAATTCTGGCGTCTGCCTCCCTGATCTCTTGGCTGTCCTATTAACTGTGCCCCACATTGCCTTACATCAAAGAATCCTACTGAGGGAGCCAGTTAGTGGCCGACAGTGGGCGATCCCACTGGAGCCTGTGTTCCATCCCCTCTTCCCATTTCCTCAGGGCTGAAGTGAGCTTCTGCACTCTCTTAGCCTCAATTGCCTCCCAGTCTTAAGGATGGGGTGGGGGCGGGGAGAGCAAGGAGTGTGGCAGGGGGTTGTTCTTGCTAGAGAAATCAAGGACAGATTGCCCCTGTAAGATTTCCCAGTGGAAAGCACCAGACGGCCTGGATTCCCCTCCTCCTGGGGAGAAGTGAATCTGGCTGACCTGCCTTTAACATCCTGCTTCTCCCAGGATGGCCCCCAATGTGCCAGACCACGAACCTTTCTTTGAGTAAGCAGCTCAGCACAACCCTTGCTGAGCTCATAGAGGTGAAATAAATATACTAAATGTGCAAGGCTAGACAGAGTCCCTGGTGCAGCAGCACATCCCCATAACACAGACAATGGCATCCAGCTTATCAGTCACCCTACCAGAGGCTACAGCTCTCCCTTTCCAGGCTGGGCTCCCCTGCTCCCAGCCCACACTCCTGAGAAGGAAGAAGAAATAGCACTGTTTTTTCTCCCCAGGAAGTGATCAGCTCACGGGTCCCTGTGTCCTTCCGCCATCCCCCAGTGCTGAGGGCTCCAGGGACCTAAAAATGCCAGGCTCATTGAGTTATGGCATCTGCAGTGCTAAAATGTAGCAGGTCTGTGGCTGGCCAGGCAGGAACCTCTGTAGTTTAGCCCCCACCTAAGGTCTGGGGGCTGCCATGGGGAGGGAGCAGCTCAGGAAGCACACTGAGGCCTGACATCTCCCAGGGCAATGGGGAATTGGCTCTTACTAAGATGAGGCCTTGGTTTAGGGCCAGTTGGTTTGCTTCTCAAATTAATACAGGTCAAAGAATTATCAGGTTGGAAAACCCTCAGAAATCACCCAGGCCAACCCTCTATTTTATAAAAAGAGAAACTGAGGTTTGAGGACAAGAGGAAGTCACTTGCACAGGGTCTCTCAGAGCTGCAGAATAGCTAGGCCTAGAGTCCAGGGCTCCAGTGTAGAGCCCAGTGCTCTTTCCACCCTCTGTGGGATCCCCCAAGTCTCCCTCCTAATGATACCGGGTAATGGGGCCTGCCCCGCACGGGCCCAGTGGAGCTCATTCACAAGGAGCAGAATCCATTCATAGTGCCACCTTGCCATCCAAGAACTGGAAGAGCTTGAGGCCCAAGAGTTCCCACTCAGCTCTGCCACTTCACAGAATGGTACCTTGGTTAGGCCCCTTCTCTGAGCCTTAGTTCCTCAGTGATAAAATGAGGATTTAAGAACCACTTCCCCAGATGGCTACTGCAAAGATCAAACAAAATCATGTATGTGAGGCATTTCATAAATTATGAAGCGCTATTCAAATGTCAGAGATTGTTAAAATGGGGTGAGGTCTGAAGGTGCTGTAGAGGAAGGAGGTCATAGTTGAGGGGGCCACGCAAAAGTGAGAACCCATGACCAAATGAGTCCGAGGACCTGCCTGGCCATGCCATGGACCTGACCAGTACTCGGGGCCACCAGCAGAGACTGACATGCAGCAGGCCAGACCAGGCCAAACTCATTGGCTTGAGAGACTGCCTGCCTGCTTTGCTGTGTGTGTGTTGTGTGCGTCTGTCCTCCTAGATGCTCCTGCGAGGCTACCCTGGAATTTCCAGGGCAGCATCTGGCAGGAGGGCACTGCATGGTGCTGGGGAAGGACACCTTGCTTCAGGCCAGCTCACAGTCCCGCAAAGAAAAGCCTGCCAGCCCAGATCCCTCTGGGGACTTCTGGATGCCCCTGCTTCCTCTGGGGCCCTTACCTTGTACTTGGCTGCAAGCAGCTCTGTGGCCTGCTGCTCGCGCCGCAGATCTTCCAGCATCTTCTCCTTCTCCTCCAGCAGCTTCTGCTTCTCCTCGCTCACCAGACTGCGGTCATCCTGGATGGCTGCCTTCTCCTCCTCCAGCCGCTCCTTCTGCTCCTGCAGGTAATTCTCCATGTTCTTGTCCAAGGCCGACTCCAGGATGGGCTGGGGTGGACGGAGGTTGTTGTTGTTGTCATCCTCTTCTTCAGCCACCCAGGCCTCGATCACTGGCCCCTCAGGGTACCCGGCGGGGGCTGACACGGCCTTCTTCCGGCGGCTGCTCTTCCTCCGGAGCCGCTTCCCCAGCATCCCCTTCTTCTCCAGCTGGGCCTTCAGGCGGGCAATCTCCTCCTGGAATTCCCGCAGCAGTGTGTCTTTAGGGTCCTCGTTCACCCGGGGCTTGTTCTTGATGTTTTTGGCCCGGTTGGCGAAGCGCAAGGTAGAGAGGCTCTCATCGTAGCTGTGAGAAGCCGGCCCCAGCGTGGCCACCATAATGGTCTTGGCATTCCCCCCGAGAGAGTCCTGGAGCAGCCGGGTCAGCTTGGAGTCCCGGTAGGGGATATGGGTGCTTCTGCTGCCTGCCAGAGCAGCGATCACATTACCCAGGGCAGACAGCGAGAGGTTGATTTTGGAGGCTTCCTTAGGCCTCTCTCCACCACCACCACCGCCACTACCTGCGGACTGTGTGGCAGCCCCTCCGGCTGTGTTGGGGCTCGCCTTATTCTGCCTCTCGCTACCAGCCAGGTCCACCAGGTTGAGCTTGCCCACACGGATGTGGTCCTGGCCATCCGAGCCACGCTCACTGCACTCCACAGTGATGACGAAGATGGCATGGGAGCGGGAGCTGACCTCATTCATGTGTGTGCTGCCCACTGCCCGGGTCTGGTTCCCCAGGTTCATCACATGCTCAATCTCCTTGACATTCTTGGTGACAAAGGAGGAGAGGTCCTTGATGTAGACGCCTGTCTCTGGGTTTTCCTTCAGCTCCAGCCTCTTGCCGGGCTCCTTGGAGAGCAGGTCTCGAATCTCCTCCTGGTAGATCTCCAGGTAGGAGGCCCGGACCAGGTACTGCTGGTTCTGGGAGCGAGAGATGTGGGTGAAGATGTGCTCAAAGGCATTAGGGATGACCCCACGCAGCTCGGGCTCCACCCAGGTCCCTTGCATGGTGTAGGTCTTGCCAGTGCCCGTCTGGCCATAGGCAAACACTGTGCCATTGAAACCCTGAAGCACCGAGTCTACCAGGGGCCTCACGGTTTCATCATACAAGTCTGCCTGCTTGGAGCTGGCATCATACACGGCATCAAAGGTGAAGGTCTTGGGCAGCTCCCCCAAGGCAGCGCGGGGGTTCCGCAGGGTCACTTGGCCCAGTTTCACGTCCATGGTCAGGATTTGCTCGTGACCAGCAGCCTCCTCCTTCCGGCTGAGGGGGCGGCACCGGGCCACCACCTTCAGGGCCTCGCTGGCCTTGGTTTTACTGGCCATCTTGCTCCTGTCCTTCCTGCCCCACGGCCCCCTCCGGAGCCTGGGCAGTCCTGCGGTCCTCCCTAGGTAGGAATCAGCGGAGCCAGCCCAGCCCCCAGGCGCCACTCTTCAATCCGCATGCAGCCTCCTAGGGTGGGGATGCTGGGAGGTGGCCCACCGCTGCAGTCCAGGCCTCCTCCGCCCTCTGGTCCTCGCTGCACCGCTGCACCGGCTGGTAAGCAGAATTAAGCAGAATCGCCGGACAGCCGCGGGAGCCGCGCCGGCTGAACGGCAGTGCCGGGAGCCCGCCCCATGCTGGGGCAGAGGAGCCTGGCTGTAAACAGCAAGGCAACAATGAGATAAAGGAAGAGGAAAATGGGATGGGGTGGGCGGCAGAGCTGTCTTCTCCGCCTCCTCCTCCTCCTCCCCTAGGGATCCATGGCGGGGCGGCAGGTCCTGGGCGGCCGAGGGTCTCGGCCCTCCTGAGGGCAGAGGCTCACCTAGAGTCCTCCCCCTCAGCTGGGGGATCATTCATTGCAGACAGCGCTGCTGTTGATGCTTCAGCCTCCGCCTTCCCGGCCGCCGCCGGAGAATGAGAGAAAAACAGAAGGGGATGGGGCGGAGCAGCTGCGAGACTGCTGTTGCCGCGGCGCTGCGGCCCCAGCCAAGCCCGGCTGGGGTGGGGCAAGGGGCGGGGCCGCTGGGCGGCAGACGGGAGCCTGGCGCGGCCAGTGCGCGGGGGACCCGGGTGCACCGCTGAGCCGCACCTTGCAGACCCCTCCGGAATGACAGGCAACAGTGCTGACACACACAGGTCTTGCGCCCACCAGGCGGGTGCAGCGCAGCCACCGCCCGCCGTCACCCCACTGTGCCTGGGCATGCTGGGAGTTGTAGTCCCGCCTTTGTTAACCCGGATCTGGCAGGTTGCTGCTGCCTTCTCAAGTCCAGGAGGCCCCGCCCTCGCTGGCATGCAACCCCCAGAGTGACTGCTGAGATTTCAGCCTACCTGGTGGGCTATCCGCACTTGTTTCCTTCACAGCCACCGTCCTCCGTCTCTCCAATGCTCCCGCCTCTGTGTCTGCAGACAGGTACATGCCACCCCTCCCCTTCGGGGTGTCTCCAGGTACCCTAATTCCTAGTCCTCTCCTCTCCCTACTCTGGTGTATTTCTGCCTTCCTCTTCTCTTCTCCTGGAACCACCTTCCAGCTGACTTTCTCCTCACCTCCTGTCCGCACAAGCACCCCTCCATCTCCATCAGCCTTCTATATTGTAGAAAAGGCTCTCCATCTTCTTCCCTAACTTCCGGCCTCTCCTCCAGCTACTCTCCTACGGAGAGTCTGTTACAGACACTCATTCCTTCACACTACGCTTGCTAAACCCCAGGCGCCATTCTAGGAGCTGGACCTTCCTGCCCTCCAGGAGCTCACATTCTAGAAACCATGTTTTGTTTCCTTAACTGGCTGTGCTGCATTGCATCTTTGTGCCTTTGCCCAGAGGACCCTGTCACCCTTCTGTACTTGGTGCCCTGCCACTTGGACAGTTTAAGGACCTCCTCTGTGAAACCTTCACTGACCAATGTCTTTTCCATAGCAGAAAGAGACACATAATTTGCATAAAACAAAACTTGGATTCCAGTTCCAGTTCGGACCTCCATCCAACTATGTGACTCTGGGCAGTCACTTACCTTGCTCCAGTCTTAGTTTTCTGTTTAAAAAAATCAGAAAGGGCAATAAATAATATCTGCTTCTGGAAGTAGTTGTGAGCCACAAGTGAAAAAATGAATCATAAAACATTATACCAATGAGAAGACTTATTTTTAAGCAAGCCCTTAATGATGCACATGGCCTTGGATTGCCTGATAGTTCCTGCTTCCTTGAGCATCCTGGACAGTCCAGGTCTGTGCTTGGTGTTTCTCTCTGAAGTCATCATATTCTTTTTCTTTAGCGTACAAGTCAAGCGTAATTCCTTAAGTCCAAGGACCAGACCAGTATCCAACCATGTTCTATTCTGCAGAGGGGAGCTGAATCTGTGGACGGGGCCCTGGTTGCCCCCACCCTTTATGTGAGATGGAGGAGATGCTGCTATCCGAAACCTTGCTGCCATTCTCCGTAGAGGCACCAGAGGAATCTGTCCACGCATTCTCAATCATGTTATTCTCTAGAGGGCCTAACCATTTAGTTCTTCCACTCCACAGAACATGTCTTCTTAATCGTTCCCCATCTTCAAGTCCCTAGGGCCTGAATGCCAGCCCAACTGGAAGCTGAGGCTTAGCCCAGCTCTAATTCCTTGGCCTTCCTCAGCTCTCCCTTGATCAAGCTCAACTGCTTGTGATTAACTTGGCTTCTGGACCAGTTAGCGGGCGGAGTTTTGGCTTTGTAGACTAACCTGTCTTGGCTCTGGTAACCTGATTTCTGGATGGGCAATTTGGCTCTTAAAGTATTTTCTTGTTGCACTTGGCTTTGGTTTTTGGACCACCTTTTCTCTGCTTTGACTAACCTGCCTGACTCTACAGTGTGGGATTAAATGGATCCCAGCCCTGTTCTCCCCACCCAGTGCCACCACCTGGCAGGGCACTTGCTCAGATCCTCCCATCTGGGAGGGGCACTGGATTCCCATTTCTTACAAGATGTGTAACCCTGGGTAAATCATTAAAGTTTGGAACAGCTATTTTCTCAGTGGGAGAAGTGAGGATAAGAATGCTTTGCTGACTCACAGGGTTCACATGAGGATTAAGTGAGATAATGTATGTGAAAACCCCGAGGGCATAGAAGACATTCCAGAAATTGTAGTTTTCCTTCCTTTTGTCCTTGCATTCAGGTTGTTCACATCATTTGTCTCCCTTTTCAGCATTGTCTTCAGCCATACTTCCTCCCTGTACCCTCTTACACATTCAAGTTTCCAGCCATTCTGGTTTGCTTAAGGTCCTCCAAACACATGGTTGTTTTTCATGTGTTCGTATCTTTGCTCATGCTGCTCCTTGGCTAGAAATGTCCTTCTAACTTTGTCCCTGTCTATAGAGCCTCACCTTTTACTAATTCCACAACTCGATCTTATATGGCTTCTGCTCCTATGGCTCAACAGAGATTTCCCTTACCAAGGACATCAGTGAGCTCCATGGCCAGTTCTAGCGGGCCCCTTTTAATAGGAGCCTTTGACTCTCATTGCCCCTGCACCTTTCCATGACTCTGTACTTTTCTGGTTTTCTTTCTACATCTCCTAGGAGTTCTGGTTGCTCAATTTCAGTCTCCTTAACTGGTTAATCTCACTCCGCCCCTATATTAATTGTCAGAGTTTACTAAGGCTAGGTCCTAAGCCCTATTTTTCTTCCAATGCCACCCTCTGGCAATCACTATAGCTTATGGCTCCAATTATTGTCTAAATGATTCCTAAATTTGTATTTCCAGTCCAGACTTCTCCTCTGGGTTCCAAATTATATATCCAATTCTCTAATGGACATGGCCACTTGGATAGCTCCCGTGTATATGAAATTCTACTTGTTCAACTGAATTCATCACCCTCCCATCAAAACCTGGTCCTCTAGGAATGATCCTTAGCTCTGTAAACAACTCTTTCCCCGCCTTCAATATATCCATTCAAACACCAAATCTATCAGCCTCTTCTCCACTTCCAATATCATGGTCCAAGCCACTATCTTCTCTGGCCTGAGCTCCCACAATAGGTCTTCCCAGGTGTGCCCTTGTCTCCACCCATCTATTCTCTATAATCTTTTAATAATACATGATTGATTACATCACTCCATGCTTAAAACCTTTCAGTGCTTCTGACTGTTCTTAAGGTAAAGTCCAAATCACTAATGCAGCCCCCAAGGCCCTACATGATCTGTTACCGGCCCTTGTCTCCTGTCCTGTCTCATGCCTCTCTACCTTGTTCTCTGGGCTCTCGTTACAACAGCCTCCTGCAGCTCCCTTCCCGCTTCCTAGCACAGGGCCCTTCCACATCCTGTTTCTGCTGCACACGACATTTTCCGAGCCATCTTTGCCTAGACGCCTGCTCTTCATCCTTCAGCTCTCAGCTTGAGTGTCACTTCCCAAGGGCACCTCTCTCGACTTTTCCATCTAGTTTGTGTCCCTTTGTCATATGTTCTCACGGTTCCCTCTATTTCTTCCACAGAAGTTAGCATAATTATAATTAAATTGATATTCACCCACCTCCTCTGTTGTTCTCTGAAGACATTCAGTTTTGTAGACTAGCCACAATGACTAGTCCAGTTCCTGGCACATAAAATGTGCTCAATAACTATTTTTATAAGTAAATGAAATAAAAGCCCCTTATGACTATCACCTCTTCTGAGAACTTTTTTTGACTCCCGAGTCTACCTGCTAACTAATCTCTCCTTTCTTCATGATCCTATTGCTCATTGTTTAACTCACTTTACAGTACTACTCATAGTGGGACCTGTACTATGGTTACCTGAGTATGTCTCTCTCTCCATAATGTATAGCCCCCTGAAGACAGGAGGCTCATTTACCTAGCAGAGTACCAAATACATACTAGGTAATCAATATCAGTTGCTAAGCAAATGAATGAATGTTCCAAGACCTTGCAGGCAAGAAAATGGGAAGGCAAAATAAAGAAGTAACTGTAATAAATTCTTACACAATATTTGCAGACTGATTTACAGTTAATAGTGTACTATCATTTGTTCATTTGACCTTCATGTCAACCCCAGGAAAGGGGAAATATTAATATTGCCTCATTGTAAAGAGGACTCCAAGCTTCAGGCTAATTAAGTGACTAAGGAAGGAAACCCAGCCACCAAGTGGCATAGTCAGTCTTGACCCCAAGCCTGCAACCCTTCAGGGGGTCTTTCCCCTATATCATGGGGAGAGCTTACCATGGCGAGGGCAGAACAGTTGCTTCTGAGTCCTGGTTTGAATGACAGTTTCACTGGAGTCCAGGCTCATCTTTGGCTTGGCAGAAGTAAGAAGCTTCCTTCACTGTTTTTACTTTGACAATGACAGTTCTTTTTTCCCAGGGGATTTCTACAACAGCCTCTTCTTCCAGTATGGTCCCAGCAACAGTCAGGGTGCGATTACACCAGGAAGACAGAGTTAGCTCTTTAGTGATCCTGGGGCCTACCAATTTTCAGGTGCAAGTAATTCAGGATTGGGATTTACCTTGTAAAATCAAGTTTGGCCAGCAGAGGGAGACATGAGTATGTGACAGAATCACGGACGAGATCCAAGCTTGTGGGCTCTCAATCACTGTGACATCCACTTCAAGAGCCCCGCAGTCGTGTCCAAGTCTACATTACTAATAGCTCCTCTTTTCCCAACAGTTTATTTCCACCTTTCTCTGCTGTAAAATTTCTGCTGAATGGGATTTGAGTTAACTCTCCATCTCCTCCCTGAAAAGAACAGAAAAATCTGAATATTAAACACGCACTGTCCTAGGTAGCTTTATTGAGTACCTAACAGATGTTTTGTTTTTTTTTAACCTTTGCATTAACCCATGTGGCAGTACTGAAGGAAACTCAAGCCTGATTGCTCCAACTCCAAAGCCTGTGTTCTTTTCACCACCCTATACTTGGCCCCAGGGGTTAGCTTTCAATCTGTCTCCTAGCTGGACTGACTACCTTCTTTCAACACTTCCCTGCTTCTTCTAGCCTCAGGGGTCTCTTCCCTTCTTTACTTCCCTTGGCAATGAGCATTTTTAAAAAATGGCATTATCATATCCGCCTGTGAAATATTGTCTCCCCAATTGGATTTCCTCTTTGTTGTACTTAAGTTTCTCATTGCAAAATAATTTAAAAACATGTTTTGAAGAGCTTTTACTATACTATATATAGAATTGAGTATCCTAATATTTTTGTAATAATTTTTTTATTAAAGATTTTTTTAGATTTTATTTATTTTTTTTTTTAGAGAGGGAAGGGAGGGAGAAAGAGAGAAACATCAATATGTGGTTGCTGGGGGCCGTGGCTTGCAACCCAGGCATGTGCCCTGACTGGGAATCAAACCTGTGATGCTTTGGTTCGCAGCCTGCACTCAATCCACTGAGCTACACCAGACAGGTTGAGCATCCTAATATTTTAAAATATTGTACACATTATCAGCTCCACTTTCTCTTAATTCTACATGCAGTCCATCAATAGATACTATCTGGGTCCTGCCTACAAAAATCTATCAGTCCTGACTCCAAAACACTGTGTGCCACCACCACGGCCACCCTCGCCCAAGCCCCCTTTGCCTCTCACCTGGGCATCACGTAGCATTTTAACAAGAATCCCTGCTTCCATGCCCCCCAGTCCCTCCTCCACAGAACAGCCAGTCTTCCTTCTAAACTATAAATCAAATGCCACTTCCTGCTTTCCACCTTCCAATGTCCTCTCATCACTCTCCAAATAAAATCCGAAGTCCTTCACCAGGGCGCCTAGTCCTTCCACGATCGGGTCCCCTGTCACTTCTCCCATTTCACGTCTTCATACGCTCCCCTCCCCTCACTCCGATCCAGTAACACTGGCCTCCTTGTCCTTCAGCCCTGCCAGGCACATTCCCGGTAGGGCCTGTGCACGGGCTCTTCCTCTGCCTGCAGGCTTTCCCTCCCAGGGCTGCACCTCCCTCTCTCCCTCCCTTCATTCAGCAGGTTTTCAAATGTCAACTCCTCAGAGAGCCTTTTTGACCACACCTCCTAAAATCTCTCTTCATCACTCTCTCACTCTTACTATCCTTACTCTGCTTTGTTTATTCATAGCACTTGCCACCATGTGACATTCTAGGTGTTTCTATATTTGTTTATGGATCATCTGTCCATTAGAATGCAAGCATGGCGACAGAATGTTATTCTGTATCCCAGTGCCTGGCAACAGGACCAGTTCATCATAGGCCCCCAGGAAACATTTGTTTAGTGAATAAATGAATGAGTGAACTTAGCAAGAGCCTTCACAGTCATCATTTTGAATGGGTGCTTCAACTTAGGCTGAACCATATGAAATCACCATTTTGTAGGTTTAAAATGGTTGAGCATTGGCAATTTCACATGGTTCAGTCAAATAAAACACACCCTCATGAAGTTGCCTTACATAAATATACAACTTAAAGAATTATTATAAAACAACATCCCTGTAGTGGGGTGGGGGGTAGGTAAAAGGGGGAATAAATGGTGACAGAAGACTTGACTTGGGGTGGTAAACACACAATACGGTATACAGATGACGTGTTGTACAATTGTATACCTGAAACCTATATAATTTTTTAAACTAATGCTACTCCAATAAATTCAATGAAAAAACACTCTGTACCGACCACCCAGGTAAAAAATAGGGCATTGCCAGGACCCCTGGAGTCCCCTGTGGACCCTGTACAGTCACAGACCCCTCCTTCCTCTCTAAGGCAGCCACTCTCCTGGCTTTTATGATAATCACTCATTTGCTCTTTTTGTTTTGTTTTGTTTTTTTACCATCTAAAGAATATGGTTTTATTTTGCCTCTTTTCAAGCTTTACATAAACTCAACCAGTGTGTGTTCTTTTGCATCTGGCTTTGTTCTGGTTTCCCGTATTTGAGAGATTCATCCATGTCATTGTGTCTGCTGTGTGTAATGTTGCTAATATGTGTTACTTCGTTGTATAACTATACCACCTATCATCTACTCTTTATTTTTTTAATTTATTGATTTTGGAGAGAGGAGGGAGCAGAGGAGGGGCGCATATTGATTTGTTGTTCCACTTATTTATGCATTCATTGGGTGCTTCTTGTACGTGCCCTGACCAGGGATTGAACCCACAACCTCGGTATACCTGGACCATGCTCTAACCAACTGAGCTACATGGCCAGGGCCTCTTATTGTGGTTTTAATTTGGATTTTCCTGCTGACAAACAAGTTGATCACCTTTTCATATACTCATTGGCATTTCAATGTCCATCTCTTGAGAACTGCCCCTTCAAGTCCCTTGCTCATCTTTCTACTGAGTTGCCTGCCTTTTTCCGATGGTTTAAAAAAAAAAAAGAGTTATTTTTTTATTTTGGCTTTGAGCCTCTTCTCTGTGGATTGACATTTCATTCTTTTCATAGAGCCTTTTTATAGTCAGGATTCCTTCATTTTAATGTAGACATAGCCATCAGTCTTTTTCTTTGATTGGCACGTTTGCGTTTTGCTTAAAAAAACTGTTCCTCTACCCCAAAGTCACAAAGATATTCTACATTATTTTCTAAAAGCTTTGCTGTTTTGAATGGCCACCTAACTTTATAATTAATTTCAGATCATAATGTATTCCAGTTCGTTCTCCCGTTGCCGCACATTTAGGCTGCCCCTGTGTGTTGTTGGTAACAATGGAAGTCGTTGTGGGGATAGCTCCCATTCCTCTCCTCAGGCTCAGCCAACCCTCTGGGCCTGGGGAAGAGAAAGTGGAGGGTGAGGTGTGTTGGGCAGTAACTGCTAACCTGGCCCAAGAACATTCTAGATTTGCTCTGTTCCTTGAATTCCGATGGTGCCTCCCACTGCCTGCCCAGCCTCCTCTTTGGAATGCTCCCATCATCACCCACTTTAGAGAGGGCTCCAACAGCCGAAGGCCCCAAAAGTCGGGACACCTGGGCTGAGACCCAACTCTGGCCACCCAGGCATTTGGTAGGAAGATGCCTGAATCTCTGGCTCCAGTGCACAGCTCAAGGCACCGAGCCCTGCGTCTCGGGACTGCCCGTCCGGTGCCCTTTCCCCTGATTCACCGCCACAGGCCGAGGTCCTGGCTTCTGCATCCTGGAATGTTGCGGGGGCGGTTTCCTGGTGTGATTCACCAACAGCAAGAATGTTTGGGCTCAACACAGAGACTGATTTGGGGAAGGGGACTCAGGTGTCCTCAGCCAGGAAGCTTCCTCAGAGCCTCCCAGTCCCCAGAGATCTCTGCCTTCTGAGCTCATAGTCTCTCCCATTCCGAGGGTCATTGTGTCACCCCCAAGAGGGTGTTCACTCCACCTTCTTTGCTGTTATTTTCCCACATGGTGCTCTTTCTCCAGCTGTGAGCAGCTGCAGGTCCGGGACACGCACAAATGCCTCTGCCTTGAGCCAACACAGTGGCTGGACGCGGATAACACTCCGAAGTTGTGAGAGTGAGCCGGCAGGTGAGGTCTGCGGAGTGCGCAGGCATTAGCATACTTTGTAATCAGAATGCCACCTGGAGGAAGGATTCCAAACTGATCCAAAATTCGGACCTGGGGCCTGTTGGTGGACCACTGTCAGAGAGGAGTGACAGAGGAGCCTGGGCAAACTCCCACAGCCCAGGCAAGTAGATGGGCAAAAACCAAGCCTGTCTTACTGGTAGTCTCAAGTATCCTCTGAAATAGCTCTCCCCAAAGGTCATGCTAACTGGTAGGGAAGTTCATCTCCTAAGAAGACCCTGTCTATACCCTCTGAAGGGTCAGAATCTAAACAGAACTGCAGCTGATATGCTGGAAGCAGAGTGGCTCCAGGAGCCTGACCCCCTCCCGGCCGGAGTCAAGAAACCTGAGCTCAGGCCTGGCGCGGCCACAGTGGGCCCCGTGACACTGGGCCTCCTGGTGACTTCATCCCCTGAGCCTGTGCCCTTATATGCCCAGCAAAGGGCAGCCCTGCCCAGGCACTGCACAGAGATGCTGTCAGAAGAAATGACACATTATATATAAAAGTATTTTGAAAAGCTTAAGGTATTATGATGACATGAAGGGTTGTTAGAAAGAAGAGCGCTGAGACATGAAAGAGGCAGGCCTCTGACGCTTCTCAGTATGATTTGCTGGGTAGTGGAAACAATCCCTTGTTTGTTCAGTATACCTGATAATTCACAAAGAGTTTCTAGGCTCTTTATCTCACCTGGGCCTCACATTAACCCAGCGAGTCAGGCAGGGTGGGGATTATTTTCCTTGACCACTGATCAGGTAAGAAAATGAGGCTTAGAGGCCATGGCTCTCCCACGATTCTGTGGTCATGGACCTAGAGCTAAAATCCCCCTGTGTGGCTCTCTGTGCTCCTTACGATGGGCCCATTATGGTGCTCCCTCTGTTTCAGTTGCTGTAATCCCATGAGGCAATTTCCCATAAAACCTCTGTGAACACTTCCTAGCAGATCCCAGAACCCCCATGTGACTGGAAGGGGTGGGGCAGGAAGGGGAGAAGAGTAAAAAGGGGGTGTGGTTATCTCATGAGTAATGTAAAGTTATTAAAAGGTTTCAAGCAGAGAAATACTATGATCAGGGCTATATATTTTTAAAAATACTTTCCTTCTCCACTTCTTCCTTCTTTTCCTACTCATTTTTTCTCCTCCCTTATTCTTTCTCCTTTTTATTCTTCACTTACTTTGTGTAATTCCCTAGAAAAGAAAGAAAAGAAAATTTGGGGACCTTACACAAGAACCCTTGGGTGTTCAGCTAGCTGGAGCCCTAACTGGCTGGTTCCTTGCATGTATAGGAGGCCAGGGTCCTGTTCAGAGACTCCCCTCTCCAGGGGGGCTTCATGCTCCAGGAGCAAGGCCAGGAGTCAGTGAAGGAGTACGATGTAGCAGGGATAAGTGCTGGACTGCTTGCCTCCCAAAAGGTTGGAGCCAGGCCTTTGGGTCGCTCTTTGGCCCCCTGGGAAGGGCCCTGCCTCAACCACTGCCTGAAGTGGCCCAGAACCTAGGGGTTCAGTGTGTGCCCTTCTCCAGTGAGTGCCTGCCATCCAGAGTGGCCAGGTGACTGATGTGCACATCCTGGGGCGCCCCCTCCAGGCTGAATGACCCTTTCTTTCCTCAGCCTACTGGCCTAACTTCCTTCCTATCTGTCTGTTCCCCACACAGATCACATGCCTGGCAGCTGGATCCCAGGTCAGAGTCCTTGGAGAGGACGTAAACAGAAAAGCTAGCACACGTGCCTGTGTGTGAGCATGTGTACATGTGTGTGCATGCACTTGCAAGCATGCATGAGTGTATGGCATCCTGGGAGGAAAAAGTATACACTGTCTCCATAGAAAACCTCCTCCTTAATTGGATTTGCTCAGTATCATATCCCCAGTACTGGTAAAGTACTTGGTACCTAAAAACAATTCTTTGAATAAATGAACAAGTGAACAATAAAAGAATGAAACAAGATTAGAACTGGAGCATGTCTGTGGCCTGGATACAGCAGCCAGAAAATCCTTGGAGACCTCACTAGCACATTCCCAAGGAGTTCCAGCAGAGCAGGCCTGGCGCTGATGGTCAAGGAGAGCAGAGGAGGTGAGCAAGGGAGCATGGGCAGGTTTTTAAAGAGTTTGGAGTAAAGGAAGGGAGGCCGTAGGGCAGTGGGAGGGGTGGGGATGGGAGAACCTGTTTGAGTGGAAGGGAGAGTCCTGTAGAGAATACTAGTGGCCACAAGTCTTTCTTGCTCAGCGTGGCCTGTTTTAGATGTTGACCTTGCTCCCTCTCCTTCCCACACTAAAACCAGTCTTTTCTCTTGCTTTCCTTGAACACAGACCTTATAGACCAGGATCACTGTGTTGGTCGTCCTAGGCATTTTTGACAGCCTTTCCAGTCGTGTTCTGCTTGGCTACTTTAACA